ATGTTTCCTGAAGAAAAGTATCCTTCATCTCCATTTTCTGTTCTGAAAGCTGATTGCTCTATGGGACCTTAGTCCTAGCAACTTTAATGGGACATTATTTGAATCTCAGGCATCTTGTTCCTTTCTACTTTTGTGTCAGAAGATTGCATTCTTGATAGCGATAATATCCACAAGGAGAATCTGTGAGTTGCAAGCGCTTAATGTTTCCTGAAGAAAAGTATCCTTCATCTCCATTTTCTGTTCTGAAAGCTGATTGCTCTATGGGACCTTAGTCCTAGCAACTTTAATGGGACATTATTTGAATCTCAGGCATCTTGTTCCTTTCTACTTTTGTGTCAGAAGATTGCATTCTTGATAGCGATAATATCCACAAGGAGAATCTGTGAGTTGCAAGCGCTTATGGCAGAGACTCATCATAAACAGCGTTCTAAGGAGAAAATAATTCTACAACTATACCCTAAATTTTTTTTCTAAAGCAGTTTCTCAGTTTTATTTGAACCAGGTGGTATGTTTACCTGTATTCTTACCAGAAAAGCATCACCTTAGATGTCAAGCAATGCCTAGCTTTCTATCTGGACAGGACTAAACATTGAGGCTTCTCTCTACCTATTTGGGTCATATGCAGATTGTATGAAGGATCAGGCAGTTTTTTCACAGATGATCTTTGAATAGGTAACATCCTCTTTCAAAACTGTTTATGAAATAGCTTTAGCTACATCTCCTCAGTGGGTATGAGCTCATGCTACAAGAGCATAAGCTGTATCAATAGTGTTCTCAGGGATGTCTCAATATTGGAATTTGCAGGGCTGCTATGTGGTCATCCATGCAGATCTTCATGAGCCATTATGCCATTAGCACACCTTCCAGGGCAGATGCAAGTTTTGGTAGAGTGGTCTTGCAGTGTTTATTTAAGTTGACTCTAAGCGTTTCCTCCTGGAGTGGGTGCTGCTTGTGAGTAACCCAAGTGGAATACATGGTGGCTGCATCTACTCGAAACAGAAATGGTTGCTTATGTCTGTAATTCTTTTAAATGTGATGCAGGTGTGGGTTCCATGACACATTGCCTGTTCCGTCTGCATCAGAATCTGATCTCTGGATGTTTAGTATGGAGAAACTGGGAAGAGGTACGGGTTTGAGGTAGGGATGTGAAGAACTAGTCGACTATCCAATAAACAAATGCTATCAGATCGAGGCAGCAAGAGAGGAGGGATAAGAAGGGAGTGCAGGAGGGGGTACTTGAAAGCAGCAGTACCACCTGGAGCCCGGGATCAGCTGGGGACCCTAGGACTTTTGCTGTACTTCAAAGGTAGAGGTGCCCCATCGACTAATTGAATAGTCGATGCAAAACTGCATCGACTTTCGATTAGTCAGTTACCTGATAGTTAACATCCTTAGTTTGAGGTTTTGTCACCTCATATAATCAGTTATGCGCGTGAGGCACGAGTACCACATATTACAGGTACTGGTAAGCAAAGCTCTTCAGCTTCGCAGAGTTGTGCATGCATGCACTGAAGTGGAATACACATCTGCATCAAATCATGAAGAACCACAGTGAAAGAAAGTAAGTAAGTAACTGTTTCTTCCATTCCAGACTCTGGAAGGGAGTGTTTTGTAGTGGGCACAATTTAATGCCCATTTTGCAATCTACCCTATATTTTACCCATTGCAACTGTCTTTTCCCCAACTTTCACTTCTTGTCCCAGTCCTTGCCTATCCAACTAGGGATGTGAGGGTATGTCTACACTAGCCCCCTAGTTCGAACTAGTTAGTTCGGTCTAAGGGGATTTAAAAATGGCGCCCAGATGGGAAGATGCAAATAAAGCCCGGGATATTTAAATCCCAGGCTTCATTTGCAACTTCAAATGCCTACATTAGCCTCCCTAGTTCGAACTAGGGGGCTAGTGTAGACATACTCTGAGCAACTAGTCAAATATCCGATAAGATCCCTACCCTCTTCTTTTCAGTGCCTGGTTACAACCTAGCCTGGTTCATCTGCAAGCAGCCACTGAAAGGAAAGCCTGATTTTTGCCCTTGTTGCCTTGGGCTGGATGGTGTAGGATCAATTGCTCTGATGGGAGATATGATATGTGCCATGCAGTTGACAGGGAACTGTAATAGGCTTTAATATGCTGAGTGAGGATACAATTTCCAGAGATTTTTAGCATCTAAAATCAGAGTGTCTATTGAGCTTGTGTAGTCTGTGATTTTTATAATTGTTTTTCAACTAGACCAGATTTGGGTAGATTTTAACAAGAATGGTGAAAAACACAAAAACCATCCTCTGTTAAATTTCAGGGTCACCGGTATTGCTTTAACATGGGCAAATTATCATATTTTTCACTAGCCTTATTCTATGAAAAAGTTGAATTGTTTTGGCTGACGTTTTCCAAAATAAATTCATTACACTTGCTCAATAATCCAAATGATTCAAATTTGACAAAGTTATAAGCAACTGAAAACAGTGTTATATAATGGGAACTGTCAGGAAACTGTAATAATAGATAGTGTTGTCAGCATTGCCTGTAATTAGGATATGCAGGAACAGTACAAGAAATTGGTTGATATAAATTGCCACCTTGTACTTTACAGATAGTGGTGAATCGTACCTAGTGTCTTCCCAACAGAGTGTCAGCCAGCCTCTTTCTCCTATTTTGAAGACGGGCCATCTTTCATCTTCTGAGTCTGCTCCTTCCTCTCCAGCAAATCATAGACAAAAGTTGAGGTAAATATTGTAACACTATTTGTAGTTATGAAAAAACGTTTAACCGGTTCTTTAGAAGCTTATGCCTTATTGGTTAGGAAGTTACTCTGGAAACTGTCCAATGTTTCTGACCAAAATAGCTGCATTTGTTTTTCGCAGTAGCTCTTGTTCAAGGACTGGATGTCTTGTTTTTTCATCATTAAAGGGAATCAGGTATTTATTTAATGTGGCAGATCATTATATGTCTGTGTGAATCTGCAAACTACATTTTTTGTGACTGTCTTTTTAATTGCAAGACAGTACTGTGCCTTTACTTTGGCACTTCAGCCTCCATCTTGAATTGAAATACCTGGAAGGTGTCGGGAGCAATCCTTGCATCTAGCTGTGGGCTAAAGATGTAAAGCAATTCAGAATCCTGAATCTGAATAGTTTTCTATGCAGATGGAAGCATCCTAGTAAAATGAGCTGACTAAAGCTCAGGGGAATCAGTTATCCCTGACTGCAGGCGAAGTGGGTTGTAACTAAGTAATGAATCACCTAATGAGAGACTTGATGTTCAAGAGAGGTTATCCTTGAGAAAGGGAGGTTCTTGTGGACTGTTGTAAGGCTGCGTCTACATGTCACCTTTAGCTCGAAATAAACTACTCAGTTTGAGCTACGCAAATTGCATAGCTTATTTCGAGTTAATTTTGAAATCCGAAAGGTCCCTTAATCCTCATGGAATAAGGTTTACAGGGACATTGAAATATTTCAATATATTTTGAAATAATGGGCTTGTTTCAAAGATGCAGAATAGCTATTTTGGGATACTGGAATCAATGCCCACAAAACAGACATTAGACAGGATCACAAAGAAAAAACAGTTTCTTGCCATTTCAACCAGAAAGGACACTGTCTCAATGACCTAATCACATGCATCCTACTTCAGAAGACATTCAAATCTGCACTTGAAAGGGAATCCTCTGAACTGGCATTCATGCTAAAATTCGACACTCTCCGCAGGGGGCTGAACAAAGACCCCAACTACCTTACCCATTACAAAGATAGCTTCCCCAATTATCACCTCTAATACCATTAGCTCACAGACATCTACCCTTCCCCACCTCTAATATCATTAACTCACAGACATTTACCTTCCTTTACCCCCCCCTTCTGTTCTGAAATTTGATTTGTCCTTTTCATATGTGTTCATTTTTTTTAATTGTATCCTTTGGTATATATGGTTGTGACTATTTTCTTCCACTATTTGATCTGAGGAAGTGGGTCTGGCCCACGAAAGCTCATCATCTAATAAACCATCTTGTTAGTCTTTAAAGTGCTACATAGTCCTGCATTTTGTTTCAGGTACACCAGACTAACACGGCTACATTTCTATCACTAAGACTAAGTAGTGAGGACAGTGGACAGAGGGTTTTGTGTGCTAGCAAAATTTAAAAAAATCTAATTATGGACAGATCCTAATAGCAAGATGTCGACTGAGTTCAGTAGAACCAGGGTTTGGCAGCAAGGCCTCAATTCAGGAAAGTAATTTTTTTTTCCCAGGAAAGCACTGATGCATGAGGAAGAGGGGTTTTAAATGTACTTTAATTCTTTCATGTGTAGCCTGAACTATTGTAACTTTCCCATAGATTTTTCTGTGAACTCAGAGAGAGGGGGAGAGGTTTGTTAGTTTGTTGAAATTCCTTTGCAGAGACTGAGCATCCCCTGCTTTCACTAATGCATAGATTCACTACCACAGCAGCTCCTACTGGTCACTCTAGGAATTAGCTTAATCTTTAGCAGGATGCCCCTTCTGGCCAGTGTCTCGCCTCTCGTCACTCTGTACTCTCTTCATGCTCTACTCTGGACCAGTGTTCCCTCTAAGATTTTTCCAACTATGAACAGAGTGAGTTTTGGCTTATGTACCAATATTGAGGTCATATGTACTGGTTTGGATGTGTGCCCCAGCCACCAGAACAGGCCCGGGAGCAGGCCTCTATTCTCTACACAGTAGGTCCCAGCCCCCTGAAGGAGTGGCTCCCTCACCATGCTGTTTCAGATGGCCCCACCTGCCAGAGCAGCCGCCTGCTGTGTGAGTGCTGCTGTGTGGTTCCCCAGAGGAGGTGGGCGGAGGAAGATTTTTTTGTGCACAGATGTGCAGGCACATACCTTAGCAGGAACTATGCTCTGGACCCATGTCATTCCCAGGACCGTGGTGTCCTCTGTTGGATACCGCCCTCTGGCAGTGCTCACTACACTGGTCCTTCTACACCAGTGGTTCCCAAACTTTTCGACGACATGCCCTCTTTTTGATTTTTGAGAAACCCTCACGTCCCCGTCCCCCCAATAGCAGCAAAACTTGTTCAGCAAAAAAAAAGGAACTGACCGGGGCCAAAAAAACAAAAATAGCAGCACAACTTGGGGGGGGAAGGGAGGACTGGGTTACCTCGCCCCCCCTCCCCCGGAATTTCTTCACCCCTCCCCCCCATTTGGGAACCCATGCTCTACACCTTCCACTTTGGCCAGCTGCAGCAGGGTCTAGCTCAGGTGTGAGCAATAATTTTTGACCAGGGCCACTTCAGAAATTTTTGAACAGCTGGCAGTTCCCTCTAGGCACCTGAGCCCCTGGCAGTGGAGGAGACTTCGCATGCATTCCCTCCTTTTGCCCCCAGGTCAATCAGGGCCTGGAGATGGGGGAGCATGTAAAATCTGCCCCTGCCCTGCAAGGGAGTGCTGCGCTTAGTCAGTTGCCAACTGCTGCTCATCTGGCAGGTGACTCTTAAGTGCTGAGACCCTTGCAGGGCAGGAAGAGACTTCACACACTCCTCCACCCCCCAAGCCCTGATTGGGCGGGAGGGGGGCACACAAAATCTTTTGTTCTCTGCCCTCTGGCGCACAGCTCTTAAAAGTCAAGTGCCAGGGTTGACTTGAAGCGCTGAACACTCCCCTGTCCCTAGGCACTGATTGATCTGGGGGCAAGGGATTGGCAGGACCTCCATGGGCCAGATCAACCCGCTTGGGGGGCCAGATCTGGCCTGTGGAGGCCCTTTTGCCCACCTCTGGTCTTGCTCCTCATCTCAGGGATAAGCTGCAGTGTCTATCGGCCACTGTTCTTGGTGGCAAGGTGTACTGGAAGGGGGAAGAGAGGGACCCAAACCCACTAACTACTCTGGGTCCCGGATCAAGGACCCTCTGGCAGCTGCGTTGTCCTGCCCTCCTTCACTCTTAACTGCCTCCTGATCCCTGGGGCACTTCCCCTTTGATCATTGCATCCTCCTGGCCCCTATATCAAAGGCCTGCAGCCTGGCAGATATCAGTCCGGAGCCTCTTTTGCTTTGCTCCTCTGAACCTGCCTAGCTCTTCTCTACCTTAAGTGCTTCTCTGGGAAACAGTTCTTCACCTTCTCAAGTCAGGCTCCAACTGCTGTCTGTTCTGCTGAGCAGCTCTTTATATCCAGGGCTTCCCCAGCAAGCTACCTTCTGATTGGCTCCCCTAGGAGCCTCTCCTTGATTCCCCACAGCTCTGCACAGGTTCTCTCAATCCTGCTCTAACCCCTTCTGGCCAGAGTGGGTCAGCTGCCCACTTCTTCCCCAAAGAGTAAAGCAGTAATCCAGAGGTTCCACAACTTCATTGGAACTCTGGAGAGACTTGAGAGAACTAGTGTTAGTTTCAAGTGCTAGTTCAACTGGTCCATGGAGTCTCATCTCTCCGGACGTGGAACTAGACAGAGTGTTGCTAGAAGTCTAGAGACAATGATTGAACCCAGCCAGCCTCAGAGCATATGTGATCCATAGGTTAGATTCAAACACAGTAGCATGGTGAGCATCCACCAGGCAAAGCTCTGGATGGGTAGTTACACTTAAACACTCTAGACTTTGTGTCCTATGAACCAGGTATTTAAATAAATGGGTGATATTCTCCCACCAGTAATCTGCTTTTAGGAATTTATTTTTTCCTCTTAAGGTAGGCTCTGGTTGCTGATCTTTGGTATTCAATGACAGAAGCTGTAATTGTTCTTTCAGTGCCAGGAACAATCCTGGTTGAAAAGGATCTCCCCATAACCCTTGTAATTTTTAAGTTAGAACATCTTGGGAAATAGGTTCTGTTCAAGCTTATGAGAGACAAAAGTCTGATGAACTTCAACATCATGCTAATTGACATAAATATATAGCTTCCTAAACTGCTTTGGACTAGCATTAAACTGTGGGTCTAGCCAGAGCTGATTATATCAAGAAACTAGATTCTGTGTTTTGTTCTGCCAAGATAAGATTTGTAGTAGGGATGTAACATCCAGATTAATCCGTTAAACTGATTAACAAACTAGTGGGATCTCACCACTCCAGCCCCCAGCCCTTGGTAGTGTCCCACTCTGGGGCTGCCTCTGCTGGCTCCCAGGTCACCACTCCAGCCCCCCAGCCCATGTTAGTGTCCCACTCTGGGGCTGCCTCTGCTGGCTCCCAGCCCCCACATTGGGGCTGGCTGCCTGGAACCAGCTCCAGGCCTCAGCCGCATGGAGGGCTGCTCCCTGGGTAACCAGTTAACCATTAACCGGTAAGAATCACCTGGTTACCCATTCACATTCCTAGTTTGTAGTGTGATGAATATATGGGTGCATGGAGGAGGAACCCTTTCTAGTCCTGCTTAAGTGTCTCATACTCTACGCTCATCAGTCTAATTTAAAAACCAGTTCTATGAACATAAAAGCAGTTCATTTAGCTCTGATATTTTCAGCCTGTCCTGAACTGACTGAAGGTACATTGTTTTTCTACAGCTCATTGTTATCAGCTTAATGTGGGGCATGACAATTTTGATACACCATTTAATAAACTCTCTGTGTCACAAGATAATAATGTGGGTCCTGACAAAGATGACAGAAGTGCCTATTGGCTCACTTAATCACAAGTTTTATATGGGGAGAGTTATTTTCTGGTGAAGGGAGTGTCAGCTCAGAATGAGCGAGCTTCAGGTTTGTGACAGGCCCATTTATCTGAGCATCAGATAAATGTCACATAATTGATAGAATTTATATTGCTATGTAAGTTTAGTGAGAGGGAAGGGAAGCTAACAAAAATAATCATAATACTGCTTCCTGAGTGTGGAAAATCTGGTGTATTTCCGGCAGAGCGATCCATATGTTGTCCAGAACACCATAGAGACAATCAAAAGAGAACGCCACATTGGGGAAATGTCTGCTCTCAAAACACTTGCACTGCAGCTAGTTTCCTGTCCCAGCTTGTGAGTGGGTGGGAAGGAAGTGAATGAAAGCAACCCCTTCTTTCCTTTAGGAGAAATGAATGCATTTCTAGTATTCTGTCTCTGTGGGAAGCATTGTTTTCTTTACTGTTATTCTCAAAATACATTGGTATCATCAAGACAGGGATGAATCATTACATCAGACCTTCCATCTCTCACTCATGCCTTGCTTGTCCTAAATATATACTTGATTACTACAGATTTAATGCTGATTCCTCTGATATTCTTAAAAAATACATGGAATGAATATTTTAATTATGGCTGCCAGTTTTACTGTTCATAAATCCACTTCATATACATCTTTTTGTTTCTCAAAAGAATAGCTTTTAATTAAGTTTTTCTAATAATTTATTGCTGGCTGAGATACTATTATCTTTTTTGTGGAATGCTGTTGATACTGGATATGGTTCATATTCATCAACATTCATGTGATAAAATAGTTTGTGGAAAACCAATTGAATTCATGCAAATAATTACCTTAATGAGACAAACCTTTGTTACTTTTGTTTACTGAATCCATCCCATTGAATTCCATACTTTCCTAGCACTTCTGGAAGATGTAATACTAGCAATATTATACAAAGTGACGTGTCTTTGTACATTAGATAGATAATATATACTCAACAACAAAAAAATCTGTAAAAGAGAGATTAAAATGCTTTTATATAGTTTATATACAGATTATATATTATCTATTATATATTATCTATATAGTTCTAGAAATACCACTTATATTAGACAGCAATAAATCGTGTGTGTAATTTATAGGGGTTGTTTCTGCCACTCTTCTGAAATGGCAGAACCAACACTGTTAAAACTGTTTTTCCCTTAGGCTTAATTAAGGTAAATTGAAACCTGTCTTTTAGAAGCTGTACATTTTATGTATCCTTCTCCCTTCCCCTCACCCCATAAAAAACTATATTCCTTGGAATTTTTATAAATATTTTATGTTTATGCTTATAATAGTGAAAGACCAATACAGCCAGGGGCTGAGCAAGAATTTGTACACAGTGCTACTAGACACCTCGTTTGTGATCTGCCGCTCTCTTTATATTTTCAGATTGAGAGATTGGTAGCAGTGTTGGTACCAACACTGGTGGTATGCTCAAAGCTGTTGAGACATCCCCAATAACAATTAGAAAGAGACCACTGAACCCATTTTCCTTAGGACCAAAGAAAGATTGTAAAATGTGGTTTCAGGGATGAACAGGTATCTGCTCTAACAGATTACCGTGGCATCAGAGCATTGGATGCAAATTAAGCTACAAAACTGAGTATAATTAAAAGGGATTATTCTTGATCCCTGAGTATGTGATATCCTTTTTGCCTTGTTTTTGTTGTTTTCTCTTTCTCTTTTTAATTTAATTTTATGTCTTTTTTTTTTATATGTAGTTCGCTCATCTCAACTGTGGGTATGTTTTGGGGAGAGACTGCAGGGGAAGGTCATGTCCAACAGCAGGGTCTTGTATTCATACCTGAAGGTGGTCAGGATTAGATTACTGTGTTGAAATTCCATCTGATGTAAAATTCTTACTTGTATTTTATTTTGCTTTGCTTATGTGGTTTTCTTAGTCCATAGCTACTCTTGGGTATCACAAACTGTTGTAAAATAGGTACATGCTGATGTACTTAGCATTTTGGTTATTAAACTTTTTAAATTCATGTTCTCTCTGCTCCTTCCTCCTTTTAGTCTTCATGAACAGCAAGCTGATAATCAGGACTTCAGTGACTCTTCAAAGCCAGAGAAGCTAGCATATGAGGACCTTGAAGAACATGATACTTCTCCTAATGGTAAGGTTTTGTGTATGGGGGCAGGGGGAGGACGGGTTTCAGTTACTGTAGTAAATTGAAAGAGTAGAAGATCTCATTATTTTCCTTAAGGTTAACTATTCCTTTCAATCTAGAATTAGTAAAGGGTTTGCAGGGAGGTGCCTGAGTGATCCATATTAGAAACAAATATTTAATACATAATGGTGGAGCAGTTATTAGACCATAGTTTAGATTCTGTCAAAGATTTCAGTTTAAGCTTTTCTGCGCTTGAAGAAAATGCTATTCATCTACAACTGTGCTACCTTAACTATAGTAAAACTATGTGTGGAGAAGGAAGGTGAAAATCAAAATCTGTAGATGATGTGGTTAAAAAGACTGGAAAATACTGTTGTTAAAGCTAAGTGATTAAGTAGTACAATGGCAAATTAAATTCCCTACTGACAAATAGAAATGGAGGGAAGAGTAACACCAGTTAAAGGTTGAATACTTCTCAACTATATGGATACAGAGATCAACACTAGCTCTACGTGTAACACTTTCTCAATTCATGCATTGTTGTTGGGGCTCAGAGAACATGGAGTGAGGATAAGAATTCCCTACTTGCTTTCCTAGGTATTAACACAGTATTAAATTTTAAATAAAGATCTCTAAGGTTGCTCTGATTTCAATGGAAGACATGCTATTATGTTCAGGGAGGAGATGATGAAGTGAGTTACTGTTCTGTGGATTTTTCTCTTAGTTTTAGTTATTCATCTGTTTTAATTAATTCTATTTGCATTTTTTTACAAATTTTAAATAGATTTTTTACTGTAGCTTTCATTAATTGAAATACTTCTGCAGTCACTAGATACTTCTGTTGATACAGTTTGGATATGACATTTAATCATGTAAATTAATGCTTCTCAAAGTGGTCTACGGCTCCCCTTTGCTGCAAACGGCGAAACGGAGCCAAGAGGAGCTGCAAGGCTCCGTGGCTGTGGTGCCAGTAAGTAAACACACTGGAGTTGCCAGTTAAGAGGTTTCTTAAAGTGGTTTCATGGACTTTGAGAAATTCTGATGTAAATGATTAAATTACAGTACTTAATTGTAAAAGATACTTTTAGGAACAGATTGTGTGGGAGTAGACAGATTCCATTACAGGTAAAGGGAGTGTGATATAAAATGTTTGGGTACTGCTGCACTAAGAGCTTGGCAGTGTTGCCTTTCCTGAACAGAGTCTGCCTTTGCATCCCCCTCTATGATCATGCTTCTCTTCTCAGAAGCCAAACATAATCTTTCAAATTAAAATTCCCTAGATTTCCAAACAAGCAGTCCAGGAGAAGCTTTCACTAGGAATCCAAACCTCTGTGCAGCAGACAGAATATGTTTTCTTTGTCTTATAACATATCCTATCATGCTGTTGTTTACTAAATACCTCATATCATACAATTTCAAGCTAAGCTTGTATAAAATGCAAAAAAAAAAGGTGGAGTGGGGAGACTGAAAGTGGAGAAGTAGATAAGGAACAAGACAAAGGGAGAAAAGAGAAAAACTGAGGGGGAAAAAAGGAGAGTGTAGCAACTATATTAGTACATGGTACAAGGTAACATCAGGAGATTGGAAATGCCCTCTGCCAGTCCATCCTAAAATAGGTTCCGTTAATGATATAGGTTATTAGCATGAGTTTGAAGGCGATGGATAAGATCTGAAAAAGTAAAGCGATTAGCTTAGGAATGAAGCTGAGCATCTTGAAAACGTATGTATTTAGCAGCATGTTGTACTGATGTGAGACATGGGTGATGACAAAATATTCGAAGAGAAGAATATTGGCATTCGAGAGGAGTTATAGAAAATTGTTATAGAAAGATCCTGAGAATGGGATGGATGCAGAAGGTCACCAGTGAGGAATTACATAGGAAGATACAGCTGAAAGAGAACCTACTGCAGATGGTTATACAATGGAAGATACAGCTATTTGGGCATATCTGCAAAATGAACGAGTGAAAAGTTAAGACCCTGGTATTCGGCATAATGGGTGGCCTGAATAGGAAAGGCAGACCCCACAGAGAATGGGTAGATGATATAGTAGATTGGTGCGGAGCTAGCCTACAGAAACTAAGCCACTCTGCACTGGACAGGGAAAGATGGAAGGAAATAGTGAGGGAGGCATCGGACACCAACGGTCATTGAGCCCATGGTTGTTGATGACGATGAGAAGGAGGCATTTTGGCATTTCCTTATTTCTGAGTGCTTTTAATATATATTTTGTTATATTCCTGTAGGCTGGGGTTGCCCATTCTGAAGCTATTCTGGGGGATTTTTTCCCCCAACATGACATAATATAACTTTATTGAAATAACCTATTAAAATCCCCAGGATTGCTTTCAGTATTCACTGGGAGATTGATGCCATTTTCAAGAGATTCTAGGCCAATCCTGACTAGGGATGTTAAATTTAGATTAATTGGCTAACTGAATAGCTAACACGTTTTCTGACTTTTGCTACACTTCAAAGGCAAAAGCACTGCAGGGAGCACAGGACCAGCAGGGCCCTCAAGCAGTCCCCCACTGACCCCGGGCTTCACATGGCACTGCCACTTTGAAATGCTGCATGCAGTCTGGGCCAGCTGGGGACTCCAGGGTCTGGCCCCGGGCTCTACACAGCACTGCGGCTTTGAAGCACCCCGTTTTCTCCCCCCCCCCCCCCCTTGCTGCCTCTTTCTGATAGAGGCATCAAGGGGGGAAGCAACTAGTCGTTCACATCCCTAATCCAGACCAATGTAACTTTATTATAGGAGTATGGCTAGAGTATAAGAAGGAAACCACTTGTTTTTTACATTCTGTGGGTACATTTATTTCTGGATCAGACAGGGTTTTTAAAAATCTTTTGTCTCAAAATGTAATTGATTTCAGTTGTGCCAATAGCTTTAGTAAACATCTTTTGTTGCTACTAATTTTCAAAGCCAAACAATGCCGTGATTATGATTAAAGTAGCAAGTGCAGCCTACTTGATATTTCTTAATTTTCAGTTCAGTGGTTGAGTTTGGTGGGGAGAATGCTTAATAGCTTAGATTTATGTATTCTAACTCTAGCTATTCCCACACTGTGTCCATTCCATTGCCCCACTATTATAATTACAGAATAACGATGCCATTGTTCAAACTTCTTCTCCAGATCAAGGGGACATTCCAGAGCAGCTCAAAAGTGATGTGTCACATCCATCTGCGGACCGTGTCATTGGAAACAATGTCACTAACGCTATGCCAGTAACAGCCGCTTCACAGCAGGATTTAAGTAAGTTCTCAGCTCAGAAACAGAAACAAATACCCTTTTTATATAGTAAATGTATTAAAAGCAAACAAAAATGTTGGTTTCTGCATTGAAGTGGTTGACATTTTTTTCTCAAAGTTAGTGTTGGGTACTATAGAAAAAGGAATATATCTTTGTTAATTCTGGATTTTCTATAGGATGATGATTTTCACCAGTGCTTATGTTAAGTTTGTTTTTAAATTTCATCTTTTAAAATTTGCTTTTTGGCTTCTGAAGAGACTTCAGGTTTTTTGCCTTAATATTAATTCATGACCTTTGCTTCTTTAGAGAGAAGCTTTCTTCAACATTTCCTTTAAGTGTGTTTCTGCATTCACTGGTTGTTTTGCATGCCAATTAGCTCAATATATAATCACTGCAGTGAAGAGTGTCAGCTAGATAAAGATAATTTAAATGCAATACAGCCACTCTCCGACTTATGAACACACCGACTTAGACCATCTGTACTTACAACCAACCTCCCATTAACCCCATTATAATATTTTTGAGTTGAGAACCATGTACGTCAAGTTTTTCGAACAGCATGGGCAGCGTGTTTAAGGGTATTGCCGACTTACGACCAAATCGAGTTACGACGAGGTGTTCGGAACGTAACCCGTTCGTAAGTCGGGGACTGCCTGTATGCTTAATTTCTCCAGTTCTTCACTACTCAGTAGTATACTAGCGTACAACATCTTGCTTGATATGAAGATCGTTTTCATGTCTTTGCCAAGGATGTTTCTGTAGGCAGAAGGTTTTCTAGCTTCAAATAGCTTCTGATATTTTGTGCACATCACAGACGACTACTTTATAGATGTAAATGGTCTTAGCATTTAAACCCAACAGGTTTAACTAGATCTATGTGCTGTGATAGTTTTTCCTAAATAACTGTTTTATTATACAAGTTGAATCTCTGAAATCCAGGACTCTGTGGTCTGGCAACATTCGTGGTCTCACAGGGCCACAGATGTTGCTGGACCAAAGAGCCCCGGTAGTGGAGAACGGGAGCCAGCAGGGAGAATGCAGGGCTGGGGAACACCTGGCGTCAGCAAGACAAGGTGGCGAGCTAGTGTGAGCTGGGCCATGCAGCTGCCAGACAGGCCCAGGGAAGCCCTGGTGGAAGCAGGACTTGCCTGGCAGTGCAGCTGGTGGTGGTTGGGCAGTCCCAGCCCAGGAACCCCAGAAAACCCCCAGTGGCAACAGGCCTGGCATTATTGGGGTCAGGTGCTGGCATCAACAGGGCTAGGCGGCTGGGGAGGCCCTGGAATTCCCAGTTGCAGTGGGGCTGGGGTGACTGGGCGGTCCCGGGCCAGAGAACCCCGGCGGTAGCGGGACTGGGTGGCAGTAGGGGAGCCTTGGCCAGGGAACCCTGGGGAATCCCCAGCGGCAGTGGGGGGAGGAGGAGCATTGTCCGAACAGGGCTGGCAGTGTCCGGGAAGCCCTGGCAGGAGAATCCCCAGCAGCAGCGATTGGGAGCCTGGGTGTGGAGCAGCCAGCAGGGGAGTGTTGATCTTCCCTCATCTGGCAAACTCCCTGATTCAGGACTGCTCAGGTCCCCAAGGTGGTGGACCATAGAGGTCCAACCTGTACTTTGTATTTTTGTAACCTCTTCTATCCAAGTATCTTAAAACACTTTACAAATACAAAATAATTAAATCTTGCAACACCTTTATGACGAATAGACAAGTGGCATCATAGCCATTTTACAGATCAAGAAATTGAGGCAGAGAGACTTAGGTTAACATTTTCCTATTTACAACCTAAAGTAGGGTACCATATTGACCTCAGTGTAAGCTATGTGTATTTACTACTTCTAAGCCAGGCCCCTTATTTAGAAGCTTACTATAAATATGGATTTCATCTACTTTAGGTTAGGCTTCCAGAGTTGGAAAAAATTTACTTAAATAAATTGCCCAAGCTTATTCTGGAAGTTTGTGGCATAGCTGGGAATAATGCATCTCGGTCCTAACTCCATCTTCTCTTCTTTAATCTTAAGACTGTCCTATTTCTTCTGCTAAAGTCTGAGTTTCACTGTGTAACCAGAAAGATAAGACCTAAAATGAAGAAACATTTTGCTTGCTAAAATAGCTCAAATTAATAATGTTACATGGTACATATGTAAACTACATGTCCAGGGTTTTTTAGGTTTATTATAGGCGCCATACAAAAACAGTTACTTGACGAATTTGGCTGCTTAATTGTTTCTGTGGCTTCCATCTTTCACAATCGTGACTACCAATTTACTCAGTGTATTATCAAGCTGCATGTCACACTCTATTTCAATAGCCGCCACTTGCAAATCTTGATTACTGCACTGCGTATGTTAAATGGAACAGAAAAATGAAAAAATGATTTTGTCACAGCTGTAGTTGATCAAAGGCAATCTGAGGAACAGAAAAGAGAAGAGAATCAAAAACAATGGGAAGAAGAAAGGAGGGAGAGAGAAGAAAGAAGGCAGAGAGACCGGCAGGAAGCACTGGAAAGGGAGGAAAGAGAACTAGAAAAACTGAATGAAGAAATGGTAAAGTAATAATTTAATTTCTGACAGAACGGTAACTTTGATATAACATGTAATTTCAAGTAAATAAACTACAAAGCAATCCCAGAAGACTTCCTACAGAACTTTGTTTTTTCTCTGTGAATGTAACAGAATAGTTTGTTGGATTTACTGTCATTTATAACCGTTCTGTAGCTATATTAATAACTAAACTTTGTCTCTAAAATTTCTTCCCAGATTAAAAGCTTGTCGTCCAGTAATTAATTTTAACATGTGATACTATTGTGTGTCATTGGTTTCAATATAAAAAGGGTTTGCTTATTCTAAGCTCAAAGATAGAGACTTTCTAAATAGGCTCCCAGATTGAAACAAACTGAATGAAAAAATAGTGTGCTTCCTAATACTCAGTCTTTCAGTCTAGTGTTCCCTGTAAGATGTGCCCTTTTGCTCAGCTGATTAGCAGGCCACTCACAACTAAGTTTTGTTTCCATTGGTGGTGCACATTCACACACAAACATTCTGTACGTGGATGGAAAAGCTTAGAGGGTATGTTGCCTGATTCTACTTAATAGAACTCCCAGTGAGTGCAGTGGGACTTCGTGCAAGGACCGAATGATCTCCCATCTTCAAATTGTGAGTGACTATGGGTACATGCCACATTGGATATGTCAGAATGGAACACAGATTAGTAGATTTGACTGGTAATGTACTGAACTTCATATGTAAACATATTGAGCTATACCCTGATTTGAAATATTTTTGAACTGGCATATCAATTTTAAGTATATTTCTGTTTTGTTGTGTTTTTTAGAAGATGATCCAAAATTCGTTGAAAATTGAATTTAAAAATGAGACAGACAATGAAGTGCAAGAGTTAGAAATCAATATTCCTGATGCCAAAGATAATTTGGTTGATCTTCCTCTTAATCCACTAGAGAAATACATGAAATTGATTCAGCAAAGCAGAGAGCAGGAGCTGACAAATAAGGTGATATACCAAATCCCGTGGACAATAATTGGGTGACTTTAAAGTGTGAGTCTTCACAATGTATTCATAAATCATGAAGTGAAGAATACCGTCTTCAACTCAATTTGGTCTTCATTTTCAGTGTGAAAGAGTAAAAGGATGTGAGGAGCAGGTTTATAATACAGTTGATCAGTTAACTGCTGGATTTGTAAAAAAACAAGTTGTCCTATTTCACCTTGGAGACAAATAAAAAACATACATAGTTCAGATGAGCTAGAGTGCTGGATTTGTGTTCACTGTTGGAGACTAGTGTTCAAGAGGTTTTGCCTAGGTCATGTGGGAATGCCAAGAGTACTTTTCTTTTATAAGGCTGCATCCAGCTATATTGCCTCGTCAAATGGAAATACAGAATATGTGTGTGTAGTTAGAAATTAATGGTTTCTAAATTTTCTATGTAAACTGAGGCTCGTTAAAACGAAGGGCCTAATTTTTAAAGAGAACTACTCTTCCATGTGCACTAATAAGTATAAATAATGTCCCAAGACAATAGTACATGCAAGATAGAATTTATATTTCCAGAACCCATTTTTGCAGAAATTGGTTTTGTCACGGCCATCATTTATAAATGTAAATGATAATGCCTAAAAAATGCAGGTATAAAATAGTTTCCAAATGAATGGATGTCAAAAAAATTTAAAAAATAACCGAAAGAACAAGTAATGATGCGATTAAAAAAAATTCCGTTGAAGCATTCAAGTGAGTGGATTGTCATAAAAATTGATTTATTTTGTAATATAATTATTTGATAAGTTTCTGTTCAGAAGTGGTTCACATTTTGTATACAAAAACATTAATTTTGGGATGTAATACCATATTAATGGCAATGTGGTTGCTCTTCTGTAAGATGCTATTTAAAAAGTCATGACGTGCATAAAATTACAAAGATAGGTAAGGTATTTTTGTCAACCAATGCTATGTGCTTAAGATCCTATGCCACATTTTGTTTGTAAAGTTAGGCCAATGAGCCAAAATGTAACTAACTAAACAAATTAAAAATATGTAATGCTTTTCTCTTGTCTGCCAGAGCTCCAAAAAAGATGTGGAAGAAGAATCACTGATAGAGAGACTACTGTCTAGTGGAAAAGATGACAGGTCAGGCTGATACAATTATTTTTTAAAGCTGAGGTTTTGTTAATTGGTTGCGAGTCCCAGAAATAGTATTTTGGGTATTTGAAAAAGTAATTCATTTTATTAATATGATAGTTGTGATTTAATTTATAGTTAACATAAATGCTTGCCTTTTAAAACTGCAATTATATATAACTTTCAGAGAAATAAATAAGTAGATCACAATCAATATGCTAAAATGAGTATCCTATAACCAAATATGGCTACTTTTTTTCTTTAATTTTTGTTAGAAAAATGCAGCTCTCTTGGGTGAAGAAATTATTACCGCATGTACCTATAACCAAACCCCTATTTACAATAATGTTAAGCAATGATACTAAAGGGAGATAAGTCAACAGCCTTGCTGACTAGCCCTTTCCTTGATGGGACAGCTGCAGCACAACCTTTCATATTGCCCAAAGTTTGAGAGAATTCCTGTGAGATAATGACCCTCCTAGTATCTAATGTTTCTGCAAGACCAACTGGCAGAGGAGGTTTGTTAGAAGTCCAAATCCAAGAATAAATAAGAGAAGGGAATGGGGAGAGGGAGAAGAAAAGGTGAGGGTTGATTTGGAAAGCCAGTGGTAGGAGGTTGATCCTTAAATCTCAGGTGTTGCTTGATCTTTAAAAATTTATTGATTACATAACAATTCCCAGTTATCACTTTTGATGGTCAACAGGTTCTTGATGCAAGATCAGGCTCAGTTTTATTCCTATAGTGTAAGTTGCGACTGAGCACGTGGGGGTTGCAACACTGAAACTATAGGAATTTTTATATTTACAAATATAGTTTAATAATATATTTAGTACAGTCACAAACACCTGTCAGCCGACGGTCAAGGCAGTGAGTCCCTTATGACCGGCTGAAGTTCTTTTAAATTGTGCTTGGTTCTGTTACAGCAACTGAAGGAGTCAGGTTAAAGCTTAAACAGTTACTATTTATTGTTACAGGGTAAACTTAGTTGTTAAATGCTACTACTGTGTTACAGATAACACAGACACTACAAAGGACAGGACAGAAATTACACTAATAAGTCACTTACAGGTACCATGAAACCCTTTGGTTCTCTGAGCTCTTATTAAATGCATGCAAAATAGACACATAGCAGGTATATATTCTCACCCCTGCGTTCCAGACTTGGCGTGGCCAGCGTCTTTCTCTCAATCCCTCGGGAAGAAGTAGGGCGAGGTTGGGCGTCCCACAGACCTCGGGAGACAATCAATACCTGCCAGCAGGTATAGATGATTGGAGCTCAAATGGGGTGGGCGGCTGAACCTCTTTTTATACCCCTTGGGTCATGTAGGCTTCTTCCTGGGCTCAAGTGGCCAATTAGGAAAAATGGCTTTGAACACCAAGTTTCCCACGAAGGGTGCAAAGCATAATTTACACCTGGGAAAAATGCAGACAATGGGCACCTCTGGTATGTGATGGATGAAGATTCCTCTCCTGGGACAGTGCAGGCGTGTCAATTACTGGTACTAGCCATCAGGGCGACGGGAGGCCCCGGGTCGTCAGCTAGCCCATTTACTGTCTGGTTTCTGTTTATGGTAGAGTCAGGGACAGGCACCACACCTGCGTTCCCAGGGCATCAAAGGCTGACTGCCTTTCTCTTGCTCTCTGGGGGGGGGAAAAACAAGGGAAAACAAGATGGGGTTCGTGGAAAAACAAGATGGGGTTTGTGTCTGGCTACAACACCCACTCAGTAATATGGGTGGAGATAATACAGAATACACATCTGCCCATCCATCTTCTGTCAAACAACCTGAAATGTTAGCTCTCAGCTTCCTTATCATCATCTCCTTTTCTCATCATCATCTGTGGCCTAGAGATGTTAAAAAGCGTGTAATTTGTTAATTGTATAGTTGACACACATTTTGTCAACTACATGATTAATCAACAAGGGTTAGCATCGAAAGCACTCAGTCCCAGCTTGCGCTGGGTCCTGGGAGCTACCCCTGCTGCTTTCAGCGCTGCAGTGTGTGTGTGTGTGTGTGGAGGGGGTAGCTCCCTGGATCTGGTGCGAGCCAGGTCTTAGCCAGGTTGTCTCCCTGCCCGGTTCCTAAATATCTTTCAGTGCAGAGCCACAGCGGTTGTAGCTCCTGGAACCTGGCCCAAGCTGGGATTGAGTCAAGCTGCTGGCCAGCCTGCTAAAATATTTACTGGCAGAAGGGCCGGGGGATGGTGCATGTAGCTGATAGCATTAACTGATAAGCATCTGCTTATTAATTGACTACATTATTATATCCTTACTGTGACCATCCTTCTGGCACCTCCCAAAGACACCACCTCCATAGTTCCCTGGAAGGTGTGTGCCTGTGCAGCTGCTCACAAAAAATTCTCCAGCTGCCTACTTCGTTTGCAGAGCCATGCAGCAGCACTCACTTTACTGCTGGAAGGTGAGTGGCGCAGCAGGCAGCTGCTCCAGGCTGTGGCTAGCTGAGGTGGTGTGTGTGGTAGAGCTACTCCAGTGGCCAGGTCAGGGAACTCTGCTACGGCTGCGTGTTAGAGGGGCTAGGGCTTGCTCCGGGGGTTGGGGCCTGCTGTGGCTGCATGGTGTGCGGATCAGGGCCTGCTTGTGGGTCTGGGGCTGGAGCTGGAGCTGTGTGGCAGGAACAGCTGGGAAGTTACCATGCGGCTCTGGCCCCAGCTCCAGCCCTGCCACAATGTTAAAGGTGTTTGGTTTTGGAATCTTAATTTGGGCCTCTTTTAAATTATAAACAATTTTTAATATGCTTCTATGCCTTGCCTGTTGATTTTGGTCTTTTGTTGACAATCTTACTAGATTTTTATATTGATGTATGTGAGGTTTTGTTTGTGGGGCAATACTCTGGAAAAAGTGGGAAAACAAAACATTCATTTACTATAAAGAAAATTTTGTAACAAATAGGTCTCAATTTAGAAGGAAAAAGTGGTAATTAGGGCTCATAGAAAATCATTCCAGTGACACTAAGAAAGTGAGAGTCCTTGAAACTGAGCAAAAGAGTCAAGTGTTATGCTTGATTTCTTAAACTATCCTGTAAATCTTCTGAAAGAAGATAACATTTAATAAAATAGCATGTTAGGTGCTACTTAAAAGACATTTTTGCTCTTACATTTTCATGACATTACAAATAATCTCAAAGACTACACATAGATAATAAATAATATCCCCAATTTCACACTTAGTGCATGTTGGACATAATATTCTGACTTTAGTCAAACCTGCATGAATACTCATACATTGCAGACAGTTAAATATACTAAATATTAATGCATTATGTAGAACTACAGTGTAAAGCAAATAGAAATGTATGTTTCTCCTCTGAGGATCTAAAGGGTAATATTCTCATTCTCTCTCTCTCTCTGTCTCTGTCTCTGTCTCTCTCTCTCTCCTGATTTTTATCTTAAGGAATCATTGAATGTTAGATGAGCTTTCCCTGTTTTTAGGACAAAACTTGTTGGAAATTTCAGATTCAGTTAAAGTTTGAGCTTTCAGCCTGTAACAATGGATGTGTTTAATATTTAATACACACATCACTTGTCCTGGATTTTAGACATATGAGTTAGATATCTTTTTTTAACCCTAACCCCCTCCCCTGAAAAAAACAGTAAACACGTAACTAAAACTAAATCCCCCCCAACCTTCAATTGCTTACATTTGAATATCATGGATTACAAATAAAACAAAAAATAGTTCACCAGCTGCCTACAGAATTTCAAATGCAAAAAAATAAAATCAAGGCTTTTGTTATATATCCTCAGACAGCATAAACATCCCAATTTATATCTTGCTTTGCAGCTGCTCATAACTTGCAATGCCACAGGTACTATGTAATGTGGACACCTGTCCACTAGGTTATCGGCTGAGACCACACACACCCTTTCACATAAGCTACTGAATATCCATTATATATATGATGACGTTCAAACACGGTTAGCGGGAGCTTGACTATGCTATCATTAATTTACTAGCTAAAGTGCTTATTATTGTGAATAGTCCTATTGATGTTGGGACTACTCACAGTTGTGAGCCCTTTTTTTTAGTATTCTTTTTCTTTCTTTCTTTCTTTATATATATATAAATAAAAATAAAAGATATTTTGTTAGTAACAGGTGGGTGCCACAGTGGCACATATCCAAACAAGTGCACATGACGTCAATATTGGTGCACAAGACAAAATTCACTCCACTCATGGATGGAAAATCTTAGAGGGAACACTGACTATCTCTTTTTACCACCCTTAGCCTAGGGTGCCACTTTTGTAATATGTTCTGCTAAGAGCATTATGTTCAATGCATATTCAGTAGGGGATGCCTTCCCTTTCATTTGTAGTTCTTCAGCTTACTAATAATTGGAGTGTCTTTTTCCTATAGGTTTGTATAGCGATGATCTCAACTTATCATATATGTCAATTTGTTAACATAGTCCTTTTGTGATTAGGCAGCACATTTTGTTATTTCTGTTCTAAGTGATTATTTTGGTTCCTTCCAAGTTGTGATTTAAACTTAACAGGTACAACTTAGGAAAGCTCTTATGCCAACCTGCTTTAATGCATCCTTTATTTATGACAAAGGGTTTTTATATATAATCCATGCACACACAATATATGCTTTTGGGTCATTGCCATCTATCTAAGTGAAAGTTTTCAAACATTTATGCTAACTTTGGCTTAGCTTAACATAAGCATGTAGCTTGTAGGTCTCTTGCATTGCAACCAAAATATACTCTAAAACAAATAATTAAACCCATAAGAAATGTGTAAGATAGATAGGCAAGCAAATAAGCTAGCCTTACATGCATCTCATGTACCTGTTATGTACATCAGTTTGTTTCCAGGACACGGTCAGAACTTCCCCATAAATGCTATTTTCAGCTACCTAAATATTTGGGGTTTTAGTTCTTAGTAGGGATGTAATATCCCATTTTTAAAAATATTAATTGGTTAAGCTATGTGTTTAACCAGTCTCCACATCGCATGCAGAGCAGGGGCATTCAGGTAGGGACTCCTGAAACAGCCCCCAACCTATGGTGGACCTGGCTGTACTGGAGAAGTCTTGCTCCAGTTAACCAAGTAAGCACGTTGATAAGGTAATGCTCAGTGGGTAACTTGTTAACCATTTTCATCGCTCAAGCTTTATGCTAACTTGCTGAAGCTGATGTCTTACCAGATACAGGCCTGTTAGGCTTCTTGCATTATTGCTGAATATACGTAAAACAATGAATATAATAAAGACAAGCTAGCCCACTGGGGTGACTATAACAAAGGCAAACTAGCCTTTAGGCTACACAGGTAAGTGGAACTTTCTAATAGGAAGAAAAGATATTTAGAAGTATGAGTAAATGTTAGGTTAGAAGACTGCTTCTGAATCCATTAACTTTTTTCCTTCCACCCCATATTTAGCGTGGCAAGCATTTCTCATGGAGAACCTGATGAAGATTTCTGGTGAATAGAAGCTACTTGACAAGCACCATGGAGGATGGTGTGAAATCATGTAAACAATCACTATACTACAAGAATGGCGCATTTCATGCACAATGGTTTCAACTGGGACTCCATTTCAGAGTCAAACATGTTAATATTAAAAAAAATTAGGCCTTTTATGAAGACACTATCCCCAATGGGTAATTTAGTTTAATCTAATAGGACTGGTGGTAGTAATAGCTTTTCTCTATGTGCTTACAGTTTTAGCAGCTAAGACAAATTTTAAGTTACCTTGTCAAAATAGTCTGATTCACTCCAGTTTATCAGAAAAGTGTATTTGTTTTTTAATTCATGGAGAAGTTCTGAGCTATGACAGAAAAGCAAAGGTTACCTATACCATTAAGAAGCACAGTAATTCAACATTTAGTCAGATAGCATAAGTGGACTTCCAAATATATCATTCTGCCTTAAGCAATGAGAGTTTTAAAGATTAAATGACAAAAATGAAACTTCAAAGTAGATTTGAAAGTTATTGTTTTTTCCAGCATGCTTATGTTGCTGGTTTCACAAATGGCATGTCAAGATAACGATTTGCGATACAAGGGCTCAGATATGCTAATTAAGATTAAAATGTGTAGTATATTAATAGTCTGGATAACTTTCTTTGAGGACACATGTAGTTTTTCACTAGCGTTAACTTGGTTAAGTACTTAACAGAAGCGGCCAGAAAAATACACTTTAGAAGTTGAGCCTCATACTGTCTCAGTCATTGTTCTTGTAACCCTCTCTTATGGAGTAGTTAAGACACTAGAAGTGTTTTTAGATTTGCATTTTGTAGACACATTTTATTAAATAACAGAATGATCACCTGTGCTCTGAAGTTTTTTTTAATTGAGATACAGAATTAGTAATAAATATAATATGGAAGTACTCTTTGGTTTATGGATAAATTCTTTAAGGTAGCAATATATACTACTATACCTGATATTCTCAAACAGGGAGGTAGAGTGTTTATTCTGTAGGGATGAGAAACTTTAGGGAAAAAAGATTTGTGCAGATTTTACCATATGTAATGAATAAGTAGCAAGTGTGACCCAATCAGATCCTCAGTTAGTGCTGTGCATTTGACTCCAGAGGGCGCTGTGCATTTGTGTTCAGTTTGCATAGCATTAAAAAAGTGGTTGCCATCTGTATGTTAATCTGTCTGCTATCATGCAATGTATGCATTTAATTGTAAGCATGGACCATACTCAGTTTGTTTTTGCTGTTACAACATTGAGTTACCAATCCACCACTGTAATAATAGAAAAAAAGTGAAAACTGATTCAAGTGAAGTGCTGCTGCATATATTGGTATATGTATGTATGTGGTGGGAGGTAAACAATTACAGAGACAAAAGCATGGCATGATCAATTAAATTTGAAAACTGCACTGTATTGTATAGTGCAATAAATACAACTTGTATACTCGATGGGTTACTGGTGATAATATGCAACAGAGAAAAGCATATCTTGATTCTTAGATGGTTGCTGGGCTGCCAGTCTTTCTGAAAAACCAGGTGTATTTGATTTGTAATAATTAACATACAGTATAACCACTGTCATTCATGCTCATGGGAACTCAGGTTGGTCATAGTTAACATTTTATATCCTTTATAAAAAGGTTTTAAAATAAAGCAAATTTGAAGGAAAGCAATGACATTTTTGCCTTTTTTTTAGTAAATATCTCACTTGAGAGGATATTTACAGGTACTGTCACAGCAGAGCCCTGCAATTTGTGTATTTAAAGTGACTTGGAACAGTAGCTGAGCACTGAGAGGTAGGGACATCTCCAATTTTATAGAATGAACAAGCCCCAAATATGAATAACATTGTGCACATGGTCCCTTGCTCTCCTATATGTTTACTACCCAAGATGTTAGTTTGATTTTAAGAGTGTATGAAAAACACTTTGCACACTGTGATATGGAAGTTGTTCATTAAAATAATATAGCATTGTGAGCTGTCACCATGATGGAAACATCTACAGCCTATGGCATATTAGCAAGTGACTTCTGATAGCATTTCTTCCCACCAGCGTGATAGCCAATAAAGAATTATTTTACTCAGAAATTCAGAAGTTGTAATATACATTCAAATAAAAGTAGCACTCATTGTTTCTACAGTCATAGCTTTGTTTAAAAAGAAAGTCGTAAAATAAGTATAGACAAGTGATGTGTTTATTATCTACAAATATTTATTGTAACACTTGGGTATAGCTACAGGAAGCCCTTGGCACTGATAGAAAATATTGATTCACTGTTAGGTTACAAAAATTTATACATAGCAAAATTTAATGCTCTTTACATAAAAATATTAGACTACTTAAACAAAACTTCAGAAAACTCCCAGTAATAGCTACATCAAACTAGAAAAGAAATTAGGCTTTAAGACATTGCCTCCATTACCCTTATGCAAACACTGGGCTAGAACATCACCTGCATGGCCGTAGAAATGTTTCTCCTTCATGCAACAGGTAAAAACAAACACTAGGCTACACTGTCTCATCTGCTCTACGTACACTGTGCCCCATTTTTAAAACTGTCAAATTAGGCTTTTAGGCATTTAACCAAAAAATTCAGCCATAACAGAATACTTGAAAAATGTCCGTCCACTTCTTACTATTGACTTAGCTAAGAAACTTGTGCTTCCTTTTTATTTTAATATTCAGCCAACAGTCAAAACTAATCAAACCACACGTTAACTTAACATGGGAATGTGACTTGACTTTACTAGAATTTTTTTCAAATTACTGATACTTGATTCCCTCCCCCCCATATTTATATATATATTTTGTAAATAACAAACATCAAATATACCATCACTAATACTCAAGATATCACTGAATGTTTCAGAAAAAACAAAATGAAGGCAGACCACTGTGGGAAATGACTTTAACACGGCACCAGATTTTTTGCTGAACACCACACTTGCTTTTTGTATTTTATAAAGAGAAAATGAATGAGCACTGGCTAGAAACTTAAGCACCAGAGAAAGGTGGCTGACCAGTGGTCTGCTTTATGGCTGTAATTTTTATAGCTTATGTAAAACTCTGCAAATTCCCCAATATGCTCATTTGGAATAATCAAATCAATTTCAGTTTCATTTTAATAAGGTAACACTTTTTGCTTAATAAAACGGATAATGGTCTCCTGCTACTATATAAATGCCTTAATATTTATTTTCTATAAATGCTAAGGCAAAGCTGACATTTATTTTCAAAGAAGGGGATCATTATCCTGACAAAAGTCTACATTCCATCAACTAGTTAATAAAAAAAATAAAACTTGGAGCAGCTGAGCAATTAATCAGTATACAGAGATAGAAAGTGCAGTAGAATGACAGTGGCTCTCTCTAGCATTACTGGAAAAATAGGTGGCTCAAAAAATGGACTTTTGTCCTTTGGCCCATAAAAAAGTGGGTTTAGACACTACCCTTTTATGTATCAGCTGCTTGTGACATGCTGAGATTGTATTAGTAAACATGAGCTACGAGAAATCTTTTGAGCTAGCCATGGTCTCATTTGGTATAGAACTGGGATAACTTATTACACCTCACACCTGTGTAATTATTTATGGCTAAAAATCTCCTGCTACTTGCTGTTTTGGGTCACCTACTACAATTTTGTGGAGGAGCTTTAGGTCACAAGATTTAATACCAAGAATCGCAAAAGGGTGATTTGAGTGGTCACTTGCTTCAAAGTGTTGCCTTTTAAAATGGCTGGACTGAAAATTCTTAAATCTGTACTAAAGAAAGGAAGGTTACCCACTGGAAGGTTTCCCTTTGAACATGTCGCAGGAGCTTGAATGTGAAGTTTTTACACTTCTACATTAGATTGGTAGACATACATCTGTACTGCAGGGCAGCTGTTTGATGATTTGTCAGAGCTACAAAATTCTTCTGTTGAATTATTCTGGCAAACTTTTATGTGTAAGAATTGATTTGCTCTTTTGACCGAGATTGGATATCTTGAAGCTCCTGTTCTTCTTTTGCTTTGATATCTTGGTAAGCTTGCATTTTGCTTGCATCCTTTAAGTAGGCCCAGTTAGAAGATAGTATCATGAGGAAGTGGATCTGGAAGAGAAGGGTGAGCATGATGGCTAGTGAGCATGTCAAGAGGCAAAGCAAGCTGCTAGTCAGATTAACGGATGTTCTTTAAACAAAAAAGTTATTGTACATTAATAAGCATTCTGCTATTAATCGGCAGGCATAGAAGCTCATTTCAATTGATTTCTAGAATTTTGCATGCTTATCTTCTAGTTGGCTTGTTAAAAACTAGCTAGAATGTGTTAGTATGTAGCAGTAGTAAAAATGAGCTGAAGAGTTTTACTGATCAGTTAAAATGCAACGCAGGAAAAAAAGGAAGCAAAAATATAAAGCAGCTTTTTGCATTTGGCAAATATACTCTGAAACCTAGAGTCAATAACTGAAATTTAAGTTTGTGGTGTTTTTCTTTAAGCACATGTAGTACAGAGATTCTGAGGCTACTTCCCCCTCTTCCCATTTCACCCCTCCTCCCCAAAAGCCTAAAATTGTAAACACTGTTTACTCTGTAAATAATAAAAAGCTACATTTTACCATGGGAGAATTAAATAAGGAAATTTGAGTCTAAAAACAATAAGCAAAAGCATGCAGTCTCTGAATTAACAAATCTTAGTGGTGGCATTTTTATCTCCCATTTTCTATCTTCAGGTAAAGTTTCAACATATATAGAAATGGCTTGCACAGTAAAAATCTATTCTTTTCACCAAATTTAATGCAACAAAAATATATATCATAAATCACCTCGATTCTTTTGTGCCTTTTCAACAGCGAAGATCTATGCACAGTTTCGCTTCCCATACAGTCATATTTTGAGATCTGGCTACTGAGAAATCAGTTACTACTTCATAAACAGTACCAGAACAGAAATTACCTAGACACTGTTTCTTAGTCAGTTTGGGATCCAAAATGGAAAGTGATTGTTTTACGCAGCACTACAGAATTGTAATTTTTTTTCCAGAGAAAGCATGATTTGGCAGCCATTTGAAAATTTAGTAATGAAGTTTCAATTCTTGTAGAGTTTCCTAAAGCCTCACTAATAAGCTGTACCTTGTGACTGTCCTCCATACACTGGAAATACTGGCAAAATGTATGTGGAGCCTTTTTAAAAAATGCATTTGTCAATACATGGTACTTCATATCAGTCAAACAGCTGTGCACTGGCACTATTCTACTCAACCTATTTCTTTGTACCTATAATGTATGCTTTATTCTTACTACTGAAATTAGTGTATAGAAAAATAACTAATCACTGATATTTAAAAATTTGTCTTAGAGATAACGGTTAGGATCTCTTTCATTTAGTAGCTCCTGTCTTTAGATGTTGCAGATCATCCTCGGAAGTAACTGAATCCTCAATGTTCAGAAAATAGCCAGATCTCATCCATATCACAGTTCATATTCAATAAGTCATTTTATTAATCTGATAATGCTAGATGATGCTTACTGAAGCTATTTACAAATTACTGTAACAAAATTGAAAAGCTAGACTCTTAGTCTAGGGTGTCAGTGGTATTTCAGGCTACGCATGCAGCTTTTTACTGGGCTTATGCAATTTAGAATTTAGTGCAGCAATCTTCCCGACTCTTAAACTTCAAAACGGCATAGTTATATGTGGTAGCCATCATGTAGATCAGCTGGTGGAAAAGAACAAAATACAGCAGAGTAAGATACAATAAGCTGACAGCTCAAGCCCTCTTGGACAGTTTTTCGATGAGTTCTATGACTGATGTAACTGTCTCAGGTGATGATTCAAGACTTGCACTAAGCAAATATTGTGCTACTTTAAATAAAATCTACAGTCTGGACTAAGGCTGCTACTGTGGAAGAACAGTGAATATTATCCAGGAATTTGACTAATGCAAGGTTAAAAGTTGATAGCTTCCGTAGTTCCTTACTGTAAGAAAAAAAAGTGAAGCATACCATTTTGTTGTTAGCTACATTTCTACGTGCTGTCTAAGTAGCTTTTGCAGGCCCAGTGACCTGACCCCAGTTTTCAAGAGAAGCAGGGTAACAGGTTCACATACTACCCCTAAGTGTGAAACAATAAAAAGGGGAGAGAGGAGGAGGAGAGAAAAGGGGGAAAGAAATGTCTTGAGTTTAAAAACCCCAGAAGCTAGATATTTCAGAAGAAAAGAGTTAAGCATGGTTACTTCCATCGCTGTGAAAGACAAACTTACCAAAAAAAATAAATAAAATTAAAACATCCCAAAACTTCCTATGACTACAATTTGTGATTTTTGTGGCTTGACATTACCAGAATTGGGCCTTGTCCCAAACGGGAGCCAAATTGGAATTAAACTACCAACAGAGTAATTTATCAAATGCTATTAAGAGTTGCAATAAGCAAAGTTCTAGTCAAAGTGCTATCCCCCCCCATAAAGTCTGCTTGCCTTTATCATGCATATTTGAATATAAGAAAGCTACATTGAGGTGCAATGCACCTAAATAATGGTGACTATTCTACAGGCTAAGTGTAACAGGTATCACTGTTTTCAACGTGTCTAACTTTTTAAAGTATCTTAATGCTAAAAGCTTAAAAGAGTGTTGTTTTATTAGATATATAAAGGATGTTACCCACCAGTGCTATGACAGTGGCACCAGCTCCAGCACAGGCCACAATGAACAGGTGATAGGACATGTAGAACTAGGAAAGAGGAGATTAAAACAAATATTTTAATGATTAGAGGAAAATAATTGAATCTATTTTGCCATTCCAATGGAGAACTCTAATATGGCCAATTTTTTTCCATTGCTCCAAGACATTTTCTATTTATATTACTGGTTATTTATTTACACAACAGGTAGCCCCCAAAAAATTAAAACAATTTGTTACAATTTTTTTCTGGTGGGATGGCAGGAAGAAAGGATGTTAGCCAAGTTGATATTTGCCACTGTTGCATAGATGGTTGTTTTGGCAGGTTAGTAGAAGCTTCTGAAAAAGGCATTTATCTTCTCATATTACTTTTTTTGACTTCCACAACAGCCCTGCAGATGGTGGTTGTACCTCATTTGTGTTGCAGATGTTCTCTAAAATTGGACCACAAGCCCTTCCGGGTACAGCATTCCAAGGGATGATACCTGAAATGGTGACAAGAAGCAAAATGTATAATTCATTCTAAACAGCCAACACACACCCCTCCACCACTCCTTTCAAATCTTACTCCGCCACACCCACATGCCAGTTGTGTTCCCTTATGATGCACCCACACATTGACCAGCACAGCTTTGAGTTGGCAAGAGAAATTATAAAGAAATCAATCAGACTGTGCATTCTCCATACACCAAGACTAGCTGCTGCTTGCCAAATGTAGGTTTCCCATATGGCAGCCAAATGGTGATTTTACTTGCTATCAGCCTATCATATGTGAGTATGCCCAACTCCCTTGATTATGGGAGGAAGTTTGCACCTCAAATTGGAACCTTTCAGAATTGCATTCAGTACTGAAATCCTTACTAGGCCAAAACACCACTTGAGTAAGGTTCAGAACAGAGCCTCACTGAATAGAATGTTTGTACGTACTTCGGTGTATGTGTATCCCAACAGTACATCCCAGATTTTCCAGGACAGTCCCAATTTCAAATATTGTGTCCCATTGTCCCTATAAATCATCAAAATGTCCTGGAAATTCCAATATTTTGGCAAATATTTCAGCTCTAAGGCTCCCTAGTGGATCTGGCTTGCAGGGAAGAAGCACAGCTAGAAGAGGCTATGTTCTCTCTCTTTCCCCCAGCTGGGGGAACAGCAGCGCAAGGAAGTATTTTCTGGAGGCTTTTCCCGCTGCTCCATAATCCAGCCAATAGGAGCAACCGGAGGCTGTGCCTGGGGCACAGTGTTGGGAGCTGAGTGAAAGCAAGTGGCCTCCCCTTCCCCCTCATGCCTAAGACCCTGCATCCCCAGTCTGCTCACCCACCGCCTCCACCGAGATCCTGTACCCCCAGCTCCCTTACAAATCAGAAAAAAATCTTTGTCAGATCACGTGTCCTGATTCTTGGTTAGAAAAATATGGTCACTGTATGTCTATAGTGATAGGGAAGAATTACAAAATACAGTGTTTCCTGTTTTATTTCCAATAGTAGAAAATGTTTAGTTGAAACCTGGAACATATAAATACAATACTTTGACCCCTTTCACTCTAAAAAAGCACATCATGATTGTTTATTTACTGGCTTTTGGGGTTTTTTAAACAAATGAGATACTAAACATTTAAACTTGTATGCCCATAACAGATATAAATCTTAAATACAGGCAAGTAGCTTTCATTTTACATCCATTTAAAACATATACAGCAAGCATGTTTTTCCATTCATTCTGTAAGCCTAGCCATGCTAGTTTTTAAACGGCAGTATATCACTTTAAATTGCATTAACATCTGTCTCCACAATACAATTTAAAGAAGAGTTTTCACTGCTGTTAAAGCAATTCAAACTCTGCTGGCTGGAATTAGTGGTTGTGGGGAGGGCAAGCTGTCTGAACATGAATTTATCATAAATTGGTACAGCTGCTGAAAACGTTTTACAGAATTTACTGCATAGCCACTTTTAGTTGTCCAAAATACACGTCCAAAATACACAGCACCAACCCAAGTAAATACTGTAGCGGGGTACTAATTGCTTAGTCAAAGATGCATGTATTGAATGTTATTGTTCAATTTTGATGTGCATATTTGGAGTTACTGGGGGAAAATTTTACTCTGGGGTCTTGTAAAGTTGCATTTGGATGGAGACTGTAAATGATGCATTTATCGATAGATTATTTGTTTTCCTCTGGATTTTTGTCAAGCTGCATTTGGATGGAAATTGAAATTCAACTGAATGTACAAAAAACATTTTACTTTTTTTTTTTACTAATTAAAAAAAATTAACCCTCTGGATATATATGAGAAACAAGTTTGTCAAAACAAGTTTCACATTTAAAATTATTTTCTTAACTAAAGGTCATTCATTTTAGTTATTGTATTGACATATTGTTTCTGGTCACCATAGGCCAGACTGTCTAAGATATTTAGGAGCCTGATGATGAAGATAGGCACTAATCTGCCACAGCACTTTTGAAAATTGGATGAGGCACCTCACTCTCATAGAAATAAGTGAGTGAGGTGCTTAAACTGCTTTGGGCTTTTGAAAATCCCACTAGGTGTCTATTTCATTGTTTTCAGTGAGAGGTGCTTAGTATATATTTTTTGAAAGTATGTATGTCATCTTCTGTCAGCTTGGTTTTGGTTCACAGATTGGAAGAGGAAAACACATTGACCTGCTTTCAACTCTCAGTTTGCCAACTGTGAATGAACTAGTCCAAATGAAGAAAATATTCTATCTGAACCCCTGGCCCCAAAACTAAGATAATTAAGACTGAAAATTTTCTGCACAGAGATTTATAGCTTAGTTTTACTTAATGTACTCTATCAATGTAACATTTATAAAGCTTGAGTTGACTTTGACAGTTTGATATGTTCTACCTGTTTCTCTATATAATTAAAAAAGCAGCACCCTTCAAAAAAATAATCTGAGGATTTTTTTTCTTGCAGAATTTTTTAAAATTATTTTAATAGATTATCATAAATGTAGGCCTTAGCATAGGTTATCATATTTTCTAATTTTAAAAATCTGTTTACAAGAAAAAAATAAATTTGATATTTTCAGAATATCAATGTATCCATTTTGTTTCTAAGCATTTTATTTTGCTGATTGTTTAATATTTAAGCATGATATAATAATATGGGTAACAGCTACACAGTCATTTTAGATACTTGACTTTCTGTTCAGTTAAACTGAATGAATCTGGAAGGAGGTTGGAGTAAACTGCATGAATTGGAAAAATAATGAAATTTTCAGATACCATACTTTGCTTTTCGATAAGACAGACAAACTTACTGAAGACAGAACAAGCAAAGAGGATAAAGAATTTAATCGAGATTAAAATAAATACCATATTGCCTGACATCCACACAGATCTGGTCCCCTGAAGCGGTCATATTTGTCTGGAGTGATTTGATGACTTCACAAGTTGACCATATGTTATAGAACATAAAGACGGGCACAGCGGAGAAGCCAAAAACCCCAAGCCAGGCCACTCCAAGCACATACGTGAGGAAAACAAACTAGGCAGAGAAAACATACATTTCAAATTTAATTCTCTGAAGGGAACAGAATGATTATGCTCTTTTTTGGGGGGAGGGATGCTTATATTTTAAATAAGCTCCTACAAGTCATTTTCAGGAAGTTTAACATTAAAAGCCAGTTGCCATAGCGTTTTTTCCTGGTAAATAGGATTTTTTTTGGACAGAGGAAAAATGACCACACCAGCATCTCTCATTTCTTGATTGATGTTTTCTTTACACAAATACTTGGCTTGAAGGCAATAGTGAAAATGTAAGCCTCAAATACTCCATTTTTAATCTGTCTGCTTGAGTAAACAGCTTGAACTTCTTAAAAAACAGTTTAATTCTAACACTGTTAGAATTCTAAACTGAACCAGTAAATGCCAGCCGCATTTAACAGATTTTTAAGAATTAATTATATTGAGTTAACAACAAAATATACATGAAATTCTCTAATTCTTGCTTGCCTGTATGCAGGGGGATCAAACCCTGCACATCTCTCTGGAGATTTAGTGGGGGCAATTTTGAACATAAATTTATGGAAATCCACTTTTGTCTTCTGCAAAATTAATTGGGTTCTTAAAATGAGACACCAAACCGGGGGTGGTGGGCAGTCAAGATTTTGGAAAGTGGTCGAGGGCCGCACTCTTCCATGGTATTAGTGGAGATGCGGGGTCTGGGATGGAGGTTGGGTTCAGAAGAGAGCTTGGGGTAAGACTGGGATGCAAGAGGGAGACTGGAGTCTGGGAGGGAGCTGGAATGAAGCAGGCGGTTGTGACCTAAGGCAGGGGACTGGAGTGCAGGGGTTTGGGATGTGACCTACAGTAGGAGGGGATTGTGATCTGGGGCAGGAGATTGGGGTGCCAGATCTGGAAGGGGGTATGGGTGTAAGGGGGGGACAAAAGGTTTGGGTGTGTGTGGAGGGGGGATAGAGAGTTGGGGCAGGAAAGGGCTGGGGTGCCAGAAGCAGGCTGTGCCCAAGAGACTTACTTGCCAGTTGTCAAACTAGCTGTTACTTTTTAAATAAGCAAAACAAAAGATCATAGACATGAGATGAAAGAGCCATATCTACAATCCATCCTCTTGCAGGGTATAATTTCCTTACAGAGAATGTCTATGATATGAAGCAGATACTGCACTTGTTTTTGGCTTTGGCAAAGACCCTAATTTTATGTTCTGAATTGTTTGCCAAACTAAATTTTGCTTTAGAGAGCACCATTAGAAAGATGTGGTTAGTACTGTACTGGGCTTCTAGAGATCTGATAGAGTTCTACATTCTACTGCAGACTTCGTGTTTGATTCTGGGCAAATCATCTCTGTGCCTCAGTTCGCCATGTAGAGAAGAAGAAACTAATGCTTCCTTTCTCCCACTTTTTTTTAATCTATTTAAGTGGTGAACTCTGCAAGGCAGGAATGGTTTCTGGTTTTTTTAACTTTGCATATTTAGTACCTAGCCCAGTGAAGAACAAATTCTGGCTTAGACCTCTGTGCACTAACTACAATACCTTACAAATACTAGTGCTTTGTAAATGTAGTCTGAAACCTCCAGCAAACCTATTTACTGATTACATTGTAAAAGTTATGTCCAGGTACTGAAAATATGCCCTTCTAATTTGTATGAAGGTGTCCCAAGTAGAGGGGAAACACTGGCTCTGCCAGCCAAAGCAATGCATTTTCAGATGTCTGCCTAGGGTCATCTGTAGATTAAGCACTGCAAAGTCAACAAAATGGAAATCTCTGTGAAAGTCAATTGGGATGTGAAACAAACAAGAACATGGAAAACCACCATAGAGCCAGCATCCCTGGAAAGAAAGTCCAGGAATCATGTTGTCTTTGGGGGAGAAAACTATGAGTCAGGGAAATATAAGCAGCAAACAAGACATTTTGTTGTGAGAAAGCTAACAGGAGCACACTTTTTGCATTCATGGAATTGGATCCTGGCCACATGTGCCAGTGATGCTGGGAGTTTGCTTTACATGAAAATTGCTTGAGACAAGGATGTTAGCCTCACAGTTAAATTTAGACATTGTGTTATAATATTTGTCTTAACATAATATAACCTGTTCTCATTATCCTGGCTCACTAAATCTTCATCTCTGTAAATAAACATATATTTCTATTCAACGTAAGTAGGTAGGTTTTTTTAATATAAAGGACCTAATCCTGAACTGTACCAGCCAATATGGATACTGTCTCTTTAGAGACAAATTATCTGATAGTAATCCTGAGCAGCCAGTGACAGGGGCTGAATGCTGCCGGGAGCACCTTGAGGACTCAGGATATGGTGTGTACTTAGCATTAACCTGCTCAAGGAGGGAAAGGTCTGCGGTGAAACCTGGAAGTGCATGGTCAATAGAGGCTGTTGGTTGCATGGAGCCAAACTGCAGTCAGCATAAACAAGGTTGCTTCATGCTAAAGCTATGTGGTGTCAAGGTATCTCAGGACCTCTGGGGAACATTCCCCAGGGGCATTCTTTTGTATATAAAATTACTTTTTCCCCATTTTAGTGTATGACCAAACACTGTTTTTGAAGCAACGAGCATAAATAGATGAGAGGATTGGGATGCCAGGCCAGTTCTTTGTAAACCCCGCCTACTTCAACTTCAGCAGCCTTGGAAGAATTCACATTGCTACTGAAACGTAACTGTTTTGGCCTGTCTAATTGTATTGGCTGCTGATGTAGCTCAGCATTTAACTTGGCAGAACTCAGTGAAACTGGTTCCAAACTATTGACTATCACAGTCATCTACTTTAACTGTTATTATATTTCAGCAGTGCCCAGGTCCTCCAGTTGGATCTTGGAACCAGTAGCATTAGCCATTGTCACACGTTATGGAAGGCTAGCCGCCTGCCCTGCAGCACTTACGGTTTAATGAGAGAAAAGGCAATCAAAAGGGCGTGACAAACAAATGGAAGGCTTTGGAAAGGGAAGAGAAAGCTAAGAGTGAAGTAACTTGTGGGTACACAGACTTGCTACATGTACCACTCAATGCTTCCAAATTAAAAGAGTGATTTTTTTAAAAAAGAAAAGCCAACAAAATGTAAATAAAATAGCTATTAATCTCCATGGTCCACTCCTTGCACATTGTCAGGGGCAGGTGTCCCTGAGTGTCATGTAGAAAGGGATCTGAAGGACAGCAGCATCTGAGTGCTTTATGGCTTAATTCAACGAGGAAAAGAGTGATCCAGAAGACAGTTACAATCCTGCATGGAGAGGAAGAAGGGCTGAGGGGGAGTCAGTGAGGGAGAAGAGTATTGCTCAGTAAGGCAGATGGGAGACCTGTAGTAGAGAAGGTCCACATGGTTATGGGACTTGGTTCAGAGACACTAAGCAGTATGGAAGCTAGGCAAAGAGACTGCATATAACCCAAGGCTGGGATGGATTCTGCAGTGGAACAGAGAGGCAGAGAAATCAGGTGCAAAGCCTAAACGTCATGGATGTGTATTTCTATAGGGCCAGACTCTTTATTTATGCTTTATTTGTATTAAACAGCACCTTGCTCCAGAAATACTCCTATTGACTTCAGTAAGAATGATGATGATTTTGGCCAGGACAGGGATGGTGGAGTTTGGGGGGGGGTTTTTTACATGAAGATTATGGAATCCTTGACTCCTATGATGACCAGGAAAAGTGCAGCCTTAGTGTTTATCTGATATGGCTCCTCTGTGGCACTGGCATCCAACCATCATCCTATAAGCTTGGAAATCTACCGTATCTGCTAGAACTTAGCCAGCAGCATGGGAAGAAGGAACTGGCTGCACTGGCAAAAGTTGCATATAAATTGTAATTGCTTAGATTTGTAGTGTTATGCAGATATATTTCCCCTTTTATGTTCAATTAGTAATATCATTTTAATCATTAATGTGTTATGGGAACCCATTACTTTATCACTTCTAAATTCCCACATTTCATTGTATCTCATGTTGTACATTTGTTTCAATTTCTATCTCTGCTACTACTGTAAAAAGTGGTCATATTTTTCAACAAGTCAGGAAAAACTATATGCTTTTGTACCTCATTTGAACATTCATTTATCATTGATGCATGCAATGATGGCAAATGTATAAAGAAATGAATAGTCACTTTTGTGACTGCAGTTAACTAACTTTCATATGTAATTATGAACTCAGTGAAATATGCAGATGTATAGGCATTTGTGTGTTCCCAACCTTTCAAAGTAAAGCCTTAGATATAAATAAGATATAATGTCAGACATGCCAGAAAATAAAATGAAAAATTCAGTTGTCATCTTTTTAATGTCAGACATGCCAGAAAATAAAATGAAAAATATTGAAAGTATAGCTTCTTAGCTTCAAGTATTATTAAATTAGGTCAATTAAGTAATTTTTATTCTTTCTTTGAAAATAAAGTTGAAAAATTGCTCTCTTTGTTCAGTGCAAACATGCTATTCCTTTTGTATATTTCTTGGCTGAAAATCTCTACATTTACAAGCAATATTTTATTTTGTTTTATTAAAATGAAATATAGTCACATAAAAAAATCTCTGCGCTTTTTATCCACACTTGCTTCTGTGCAATCCCAGCCATTTGCTTTGCTTTCTTCATAACTATCAGCTTTGAATTAAAATTTTCTGAGGCAGTTTTGAAATCTTGGCTCAAGAACATTGTGTTTCTATTCCTAAAGTGTACAACCACACAGCGGCTGGGGACAGGAATTTAAAGTTTTACTTTAAGTTTATTTTAAGTATAGTAATGGGAAAACCTTTTGGAACATTTAAAAGCAGGGGTGGGCAAGAGAGTCTCCCCAGCCCTGCTGCTCTCTCCCTCCCTCCCCCAGACCCATTGAGACCTAAGAACAGGGGAGCATGTGAAGTCCCCTCCCCCCGCCAGAGACGGTTCACTCTAGGCACCGTGGGGCATGATTGCCTAAAGCAAACCCGCTCTCCCTCCCCCAGACCCATTGAGACCTAAGAACAGGGGAGCGTGTGAAGTCCCCTCCCCCCACCAGGGACATGCTGGCAGTTCACTAGGCACCGTGGGGCATGATTGCCTAAAGCAAACCACCAGCTGCTCAGAATAGTGGGCAGTTCTCTCCGGGTGCCGGAGGGCAGGCGGCAAAAACTTCACATGCTCCCTCTGCCCCCAGGCCAATCAGGGTTTGTGGGTGGGGGGAGCATGGAGGTGTCCTGGCTGCACCCCTTCTGCCTGAGGCCCCGCTCCTTCTGGAGCAGCCCAGGGCCACTTCAAAAATGTATGAAGTGGGTCCCCATCTAAAATTAGTGCCCATCCTTGTATTAAAGGTTTTAAATATGTCATCTGTATTGAAAACTCCTTGAGCAACCTTGAATCAGTTGCTTTCTCTCTGTGCCTTGATTTCCCCATCTGTAAAAATGGGACAGTAATATTGGCTAGCTTCTAGGAGTGTTGTGAAGCTTCATTCACTGCTATTTCAAGAATTTTGTGTCCTTCAGATTCAATGTGGTATAGAAAATTAAAGTTTTGCTATTTTTGAAAATAATCCTGTATAAACTCTAATCTCTATGAGTTTTGTGGTCCCAACTCTGAGTCCATAGTGCCATGGTTCCCATACTTTAAGTTACTTTATGAGGTATGAAAAGTTTAACTGGGCAAAAACATTGTGATGCAACAACATAAGTGTCAACTAAGCCAGATCAAAGATCTTAGCTAATGTGAAGAAAACATAAAGACAGCTATTATTCTGACTTTTGATAGAATGTCTACTACAACACTGTACTCACCATTCCACTGATGCATCGGCCACAGGCTGTTGTTTTGAACTCACCATGCAGCTCCTTCACAGCACTTGTTGTATAAAAACCTTCTGCCAAGAGGATTATTCCATATAAGAAAAAAAATGATGCAATGCCATAGATTACATACTGCATTAGCTGTATTCTAAAATGGAAGAGAAAATAAAAGTTAGTGTCAGACTTTGAGTCATATTAACACAAGCGGGCCCTACCTGACTATACGAAGTCTGAGCGAACTTATTCTGCCAAAATGCCAGTGAAGTATTGTGGATCTGTTTAAAGAAGAATGTCAGGGGCATTTGTCCCAGCCTTATGATTCTCATTTTACAGATGTGGAAACTGACATGAGAAACTCAGGCGTACCAGAGGGACAGAGGTTTATGACCTGCCTGGGAGTCAAGAGATTTGGGTTTTAATCATGGTTGTTACTTTGGCTATATGACTTTAGGACTGTCACAATATTTAAGCCTCAGTTCCTTGCCTGAAAAATGAAGATATATCTGTACTCCATAGGGTGCTGTGACCCATAACTAAATGCGTGTATTATGGTATGTATGTAGGAGCAAATGTTGACGTGGCAATGGTTAGATGAGAATTTGAGTATTCTGACTGCTTAGCTCTGCGATCGCTCCAAAAAGCTATGTTGCATATATATGTCACAGGGCATGATAATTTTCATGAGAATATGTGAAATTAGCATCACTGTCAATGTTAACACATTCTTCAGTTCAGGAGGGAGTCTATAGTTACACAGCAAAGGTTCAAGAACGTTAAAAATACAAATCAGGAGTTCTAACCTACTAAAATATCTATAGGTACTTTTACAACTCTAATTCCCCCTGGCATTTCTTATTATGTTTCCACTTAGCAGCCATAGCAATTCAAGTACCAATTGCTCATTTCCCTGAAACAATGCCATGGTAACCATGGTTGCGGAGAGATAGTTGGTCACAACAGCTCTCTCCCGTGTGATGCTAGCAAGAGTTTTTGCAAAGCGTGGTCCCTCTCAGCACGCATGGGCTACATTTGAATCATTTGGATTTCTTCTACTTTGGCTCATTTAAACAAATGAACCCCCTGTGACTTTGCACATTAGGCTTTGTTACACGCTCTGTTGCTCAGGCTCAGAGATCTATGCAATCACCACAAACTATGGCTCTGCTGCATTGGAGAGCCCTGCAAATCTGTGGAGTCACTGATCATTTTTGCAGATTGTGTATCAGATGCGGATACAAGTGCACAAATGCTCTATGCATGCGTAAAGCACCCATAAGCTACTAGAACCTTGTAAAAGGGTTTTTAAATACTTCTAGACAAGCGCTTGACCTAGGGTAAACTGTCACCTATCAAGGGCCAGGTGAACAAGATTGAAGGAGAATAGCTTTTTCTCTCAAAAACTGGGATCCAACAGTAACTGATCAAATGAAATACGCAGAGAGCTGTCAAAAACAGAGAGAAGATGACAGAGAAATTCTGAGAGTCCCTGTGCCTTAGATTACGAATGACTGGGATCTTACCCAACACACCTGACTCCACCTACACCAGTGGTCTCCAAGCTTTTTAAGCACAAGATCACTTTTTGAATGTAAGTCAGTCCAGGATCTACCTTAAACCCAAATACCTCTGTCCAGCCCCTTTGCCCAGGCCCCACCCTTCTCACTCTGTGAAGATGGGGTACAGAAAGGGGGACAGAGTGACATCAACACCCCCCTGCCTGACTCTCCCACTCTGCACAACAGGCAGGAGACTCCCAGGGGGCAGCTCTGAGGTTCTGGGCAGGAGCAGCAGGGCAGTGGGGGGAGGGGCAACTGAGGTGCAGGCACTTGATAGCCTCTTGGGCAAACCAATCAGGATCACCGTGACAGCAGCTCCAAGATGTACCAGTAGATTCCGATCTCCTGGTTGGTGACCACTGCTCTACACCAATAGCCTCATGTGGACTAGAACAAATGACTTGGCAGAAGAGGGCAGCTAAACAAAGTTACAAGGGCTCTTCCTGCCCACTTCCATCACCTGAGCATGTAGTGCCCCCTTCCCTTCCTAGCCCAGGAAATATAGGAGACAACCCCACTAGGAGGATTCCCGAGCCTCACACCAAAGCTCTTGGGTACCCTGTCCAAAATAGTGGACTTCCCCCCTCACGCCCTGCTCCTGTCCTATTATTGATCATGGATTTGAGGACATTGTTCCAGTTCTGCCAGACTCAGTCCTGGATTCTGCCTCTGACTGGTGCAGCTCAGTAGCATGCACAGAACGAAGGAGAGAGGAGTGTGACAGTTTGTCCTCCTATAATCGTTTACAGGAAATAATGCACATACCTCTGGAACAGCTATGATTTGGTTTTCTACATTCTGCTCCTTTACATTTTTAGACTGGAAACATGGTCATTGGCTAGAAACAGCTGCCATTTTGCATTTGATTCAGATACAGCGGTTAACCAAGGAGAGTAAGTGCATTTGTCTTAGGACTTTACACCCATTCTTCCTCTTTTGCCTACCATAAGTCATCACTGAGGCTGAAATTATATGCTGAATCCCTGTGCATGGAAATGATAACACCAGGCATTTTGTACTGTGTGTATATTATTTTGAGAAAACAGCCTAAGCCTCTAAGTTTTGCATTTGAGTTTGGATCCATTTCCAATTTTAGTTGTGTTTTGTATTGCGGGGTGTTTTGCTGGACTTTTGTCATGAAGTAATGGAAGAGGGATGTACTTACACTTCACTCAGCAGAGCATGATCACTGGTGTTTGTGGAGAAGTGCTGTTCAAGGATAGATACGGTTCCAGTGAGAGCCACATGACCACAGCCACAAAATAATGCTACCCCAGAAAAGCAGAGAATGGTTGCCACAAGTGAAGCATATGGAACTCCTCCCAGGCACTTAATGCAACATTCAAAGCAACCTAAGCAGAAAAGATGAAACAAAGGAAACATTATTAAATACAACCGTAGGTTATGAGAAGAATATTCACTTTTCATTTAGCACAACCAGTGGGAGCTAGTTTAAAATGAAAAAAAAAATTGGCAAAGTGATATGTGGAAAGCTAGCAGAAGATGCAACAAGATGACTATTCCTGTTCCAGAGCAATGATCTTCAACTTTGTCTCTGTGAACTCAACAGCACACAAGTGGAAACGGGTTGAATCTTCATATCTTTGCAAGATCAAGACAATGTCACTGATGAGTCAGCTCCTCAACCAAAAAACAAAAATTAATTTAGCTAAGTGAGTCCCTTTACTCTGACTCCTCCCAAACGATATAGAAGATTTCAAAACTATTTGTATTAACAACATGAAGCATCAGTTACACTACTACCATGCTCAGCAAGCAAGCCAAGGAAGCCACTATGCAATATGAGGAAGCATTCTGGGAAGATACATTTTATTTTACACTTCTGATGAATGAAGTTCTATATTCCAGGGGCTTCAAAATCTGGCTGTTGCACAGTTTGTCTAAGGACTGGGCTTTTAAAGTTGATGTACATAAAAGCCAGAGGACCTGAGGTCAAAAAGGAGACTATTTGGCGTGAGATAATCAATATTAAAGGGAGAAAAGCATATTTATATAGAAAGAATAAAAGAAAAAAGTAAATGTTTGGCAAATAAATTGAGACTAAAGTTCCCTTTTCACAAGGTACATTGAGGTGTAAACTACTATTTAGAAAGCACAGTTTTGTCTCCAATTTAATAGAAAAATACTGGATGTGCTGCGTCATCTGGATGAAGGTTACAGTTATAGAACCACTGTCTTAGACACATTGTGATAAGGTAAATTCACTTGCAACTATCAGATTTTTCCTGACAGCATTGCCTGAAAAATCCATTTGCTAGTGGGACTGAGTAGCATGAATTGGAAAGCAACAGAGCTGTCAGTGTGTTATAACGTTAATGGCAATCTATACCAATTCATTATTTCAGAGTGATAGCATTAAGCTGGCTAAGCTTTCATCATTGGTGTAGGTTATGCAAAGTATAAACCATTAGGATACTGCTCAATGGAACTACCAGTGCTGAATGCAAGAGAAACAGTTTGTTCCTTTGAACATATGATACAGAATGAGTCATTTATCCGTTTAAGATTTATGGAGGCAACTGAGTGGTGCACACAACATAACTTTGGTCTCAGAAACTCCAAGAAAAGATCAGCAGATCTATGCCTAGTAAAGGAAGCAGCTTCTTTCTAACACCCCACCCTTCCAAGTAATGAATGAGTTTTGCAACAGGCTCTTCCAGGGGGCATTAAGAAATAATGTGCATACAATAACAGAAACCCCTCTCACCATTTTATCAATGTATAAGTCTTTGTTTTAGCAATCTCTTACTAAATGCCCCTGTCATGCTTAAACAGCTATTGCTACTTAGATGTCTTATGAAATGCCACTTCAGTAAATGCATTCAAGATTTAATTATATGAAAGCCAGCTGGGGAAGCTTTTACAGTCAAGTCCACAGCTGGAATCCATTCAGTAAGGAACTTTATCTCAGTGCTTCAAATGCCACAGAATGAATACAGACAGATTGATGTACTGCTTAGCCTGATGGGGTGGCGGGAAGGAAAGGAAGCATAAAGAAAGCTCAATGGGAAGAGATATAACCTAACCACAGCATGTATCTTATCACTGAGGTCCAAAGCTAATGCAAACTTCAGAATGGACATATCTTGCAGGGTGATCACCAGTAATATGACAAATTTGCAAAGCAAGTTTAGAAGGAATCACATCATCATAAGTACTTCCCACTGTTCAAACGAGATTCTTGGGTGTTTCAGTGATCGGAGAAACCAGACACTGAAGCCCCTCACATGTTATCATTCAGGCTCTGCATTAGTCTGATTTCTCCTCTTATTATCATAAAACTTGCAGGATCCTTGAGAGGTCATCAAATCCAATTCTCTGCACTCATGGGAGCACCAAGCGCAATCTAGACCATCCCTGAGAGCTGCCTGTCTAACCCGTTCTTGAAAATCTCCAATGATGGAGATTCTAAAACCTTCTTAGGCAATTTATTCCCATGCTTAACCACCCTGACAGTTAGGAAGTTTTTCCTAATGTCCAACCTAAACTTTCCTTGCTGCAATTCAAGTCCATTGTTTCTATTCCTATCATCAGGAGTTAAGGAAAATATTTTTTCCTCCCTTCTGCTTGTAACAACCTTTTAGGTACTTGAAAGTTGTCATGTCCCCTCTGTCTTCTCTTTTTCAGACTAAACAAATCCAGTTCTTACAATATTGCCTCACAGGTCATGATTTCTAGACTTTTAATTATTTTTGCTGCTTTTCTCTGGACTTTTTCTAATTGTCCACATCTTTCCTGAAATGTAGCACACAGAACTGGACACAATACTCCAGTTGAGGCCTAATCAAATATGAATTACTTCTCATATCTCACTTACAACACTCCTGTTAATACATCCCAGAATCATGTTTGTTTTGCAACAGTGTCACACTGTTGACTCTCATTTAGGTTGTGTGAGCCACTATGATCACCAGCTCCCTTCCCACAGTACACCTTCTCAGGGATTCATTTCCCATTGACTATGTGTGCAACTTATTGTTCCTTCCTAAGTGCAGTACTTTGCATTTGTCCTTATTGAACTTATTTACCTAAGTCTGATTTCCCCTCTTAATCTGTTGCTATTATAAGATTTTCTTTCATGCTGGAAGGTAGAATATCTAACATTCTTCAGAGTCAACCTCAACACTGCTCTATGGGTAATAAGTCAATAGTGTCAAAGAGTAACTTGGCCAAAGTCTTAAATCCACACAGACCCAGGGCTAAAAGTTACTCCCAAATATACGTCATTCCAGTAGACTGAAAACCCCATGCGGTGCAGCCTAGTTTGCCATACAATAATACTGGACTTGGGGGTGGAGGGGAATCTCTTGTGATCACACATCCGGGCAGATCTCACCATTTCATCAATAGCCTGTTTTATTCAAACTGCTAGCAATGGATGCCCCAAAGCTTTCACATTCTTCTCTATAGTAGGCCACTGTGTTTATGTCTGCACTGTTCATGGCTCATGCCTTCTACAGCACACTACTCCACAAGAGAAAAAGCAGTACCATCCTTCTAAGGGCCTACACTGTGTCAATCACAGATCACTGCTATAATACCACTTGAAGCAGCACAGTAGCTTTAAGGACTTCAACAAAACAAAGCCCCAGCAAGCCTTTAACTCTAAGGCCAACTGGATAACTGGCCCACACACTATCTTTGGTCCTTGAACAAGCATACACCTCCAGGCCTAGCTTTAAACAAAAATAAGGGAATACTGTAAATGGCATATTTCCATGCCAGACATGGCCGTGTGTGCTTGTGCATACATGTTAATTTAACAACTTTAATGATGGTTATTCCTCTCCTAAGATATCAGCATTAAAGAATACATACTACCTGTTAGAGGCGTTAGACTCCCTAAGCTCCCCAAATTCTCATTTTAATACAATCTAATTAAAGAATGTTTGAAGTTTTGCTGTAACACGCAAAGAATCTTCTTTTTGGAGACCCTACGTTCACATCAATGAAACCTGAGAGTAGGAGGTTTCTATTTTATTGTTTGCATACACCCAGGACTACCAGAATGTTACGCAGAGAAGCTTTTCTAAACCAGATACTACTATTAGTTCAGACACAATTAAGGATTTTTTTTCTTACCAAACTTTCTAGGTTGGCATTGGAGTCTTACCATTAAACAGGAAAGTGCAGAACTTCAGCTGGGCTCCTGAACTATGTCAGGTTCCAGCAGCTAAGAATTTGGCCTGGAGAATTTAACCTTTCTAGATGCAGTTTTCCTAGTACTCTGCTATATTTCTGAATTAGAAGGCAGTGAGTTACCACACAACAGAAAAGCAGTGGCAAATTTGTACATAAATATGAAATAAGCAAAGTAAGTTGATAACATATTCTGCTTCTGAAGCAGTGTATCCTGTAAACAGTGTTGTGGTATTTAGTACCGTTTGGGAAGCTTATTACAAACTTTAAAAAAAAATGTTTAGCAGTAACTTAACTTTGCTATCTTAACTTTGCGCACAGATAATATCATGTTTAGCAGTAATTCTGTGCTATCTTAACTTTGCGCACAGATAATATCAGGCAATGTTTAGCACTCTTATCTACTCCAGCACATCAGCCGTGTAAAACCGTTTAAATATAAACTATGCGTTATAAATACACATCAATGCATCTGGCTTTCAATGGCCATTTTGTCTAAAACATCACTAGAATCTTTTGTGCAGCTCAGCAGAATAAAAACATTTTTTGTCCTCAGGCTTGTGAGCAGAAGTTGCCATGGAGGCAAGTTAATAACAGCCCAGTGATTTGCCCAGAGCTGCTTGTGATCCCGGCTACAGATTTAACACACTCTCAGAAGGAGGCCAGCTAAAACAAGGACCAAGATTATTCTCTAGAGAATGAGAGCTATTAAACACACACACACACACACACACACACACACACAACTCAGCCTGAATCCTTCTTGCTAAGGGACAAAATTAAATAAAGGAGAAAGAACAGGAACCAGCTATTCTCTTGCAGTCTCTTGGAAACTATCAGTCACAGGAAACTAGTTTAAGGGTGAACCTATACATAAAAAGTCAGCAATGATACTAATTGTTCATAATTCTTCTTTGAGCGGCAATGAGCAATATACCCATAAATAGCTAGGACAGGACACAATATACACATCACTGAATATATGCAAGGGTTTAGTCACACAATTCCTATTAATACTAATGGCAGCTGTATGGCTAAATCTCATTCAGCACTGTGATGGTGTTACCCGAGGGAAATCCAAAAAAGCAAGGAAATGCAGAATTAATGGGGAGGGACTTTCAGAGAACAATTCTCAGTCTGTAACACCTTACCAACATCAGGTTGGGGCAAGATTACAATTTGATTGTAACTC